TGGTAAATATACCCTTTTGAAACATTCGGTTTAAATCATTGATTAACGTAGCGATATGATTGTGCTGGCTCATAGTCCTCATAAAGAGACCAATGTTGGACACACTTTGCATAAACTTTTCATTGAGTTCTCGTAATTGATAGCCCAGGTTTACGATAAATGCATACCATATTACTATAGCGGCTATTAAAAAGACCATCATGCGATATATACCCAGCGATGTTACTATCGCCCAAAATATCACCGGGATCAGTGTGAATTGTTTACTTCCCTCGAAATAGGCAACTATTATAGAGCCGACAAACACCAGATGTGTTAGAAATACTACTGAATAGAAAAGTCCGTTCAACAGATATTTGGACATAAAATTCACTTGAAGTCCGTATTTACTGTTATTTTCAGCGCTTATTTGAATTTCATTTTTCTTACGTCTGATATCATTGAGAAACTGGACTACAGTTAAGGTATGATTCTTTTCATGGTATGAAAAAACCATATCTGTGGTCAGGGGTACGGCTACGCACAGGGATGCCAAAGTGGACAGTATTCGAGGGCTGGCCATTAGGTAGTTGGCGTTTGCCATCAAACGTATGACATGTATATTAGCGCCAAATACAGCGTATATAGTAAATCGTAGAGTCGTTAATAATAGTGATACTCGCAGTATAAATATGATCATGGTCCTTCGACGCGAGGGTTCAATGTTATAACAGTAGTCATTGAAACTGTTTGATACAAATACGTAGTGTTTTGTACAGAATTTGTTGATTTGTTGCAAACCAATAGCCTGGTTATTATTGTCGTCAATAAATGTGTTAAACTTTGTGATGGCTTTTAGTTTTAAATTTGTAAAACTCTTATTACTTTTCATTTTTGAAAGTTTTAGATTTTAAACCTCACAGTGAAATTGAAATAGCTTTCTAGTTATCTAGATAGTAAATAAAAATCAGTTTAGTTTAAGTGTATATAAACTTATGACAATATTTTTACTGCAATAAGTACTGTATTTTTATTGACTGTTTTGATTTCTATCAAGATTTGGACTAAAATACTGAAAATATAATCAGGAATCAACAAAAATAAAATCATCAATAAGGTTTTGGAAAATACTTTTTATATCATTTCCCTTAAAATAAAAACATTTATATTTTCAGTATTTTAGTCCAAATCGTGATAGTAACACATAAATCAATATAAACCCAAATGAATAATAAAATTTTATTATAAATTGTACTAACGATTCAATGAAATACTGTATACCTTAATTATCATTATTAATGATTCATTAACTATAAAAGAAATTATTAAAATAAATAAAAATAAAAGAAATCACCGATAAATCATGGATTCATTAAAAAAATTAATTGTATTAGATTTTGCAAATTCAACCTATTTTATTTTTAAACAATATAATTGAGATTTAAAAACATGAAATCAATTAAATATGTTTATATTTATATTAATTATAATATTATTAAAAGGTTACGAAATTGTCCTGTCCATTGTCCATGTGAAAGAAATTTATTCTTGATACTGTATTATATCAATAGGGTGTTTCCCTTTGAGTATTACCGGGATGCCTACAATTTCCTATACATTTTCGACAATACAATAAGTATAATGCCGGGTCCACTGATCCCTAGCCTACAAATTGATTTTTATGAGTAATATATCATTTTTGTATTTATATGTTTATGAATATAACGTAGTGTACCTTAAATTTTAGAGTATCTTCTTGCTTAAAAAACTGTAACTTATAATAATAATAAAATATTAAAAATCATATCATTTTAATGCTTTGTTTTCAGACAGTAAATTAAAAAAGAAATGATTTCAATTGAATTTGTATTCAATAAATTATGACTAATAAACGAGAGGTAGTCCTGATATGGGGTTTGCGAGAGTTTCCCATTGAATAGCATTACGAGAACAGTGTTGTGTCACGCGTTTCAAAAACACATACATTTTTATAATGAATTTTGCATTGATGGCAAAAAGGGTTTGAGGACTACCTCTCGTTTATTAGTCATAATTTATTGAATACAAATTCAATTGAAATCATTTCTTTTTTAATTTACTGTCTGAAAACAAAGCTTTAAAATGATGATTTTTAATATTTTATTATTATTATAAGTTACAGCTTTTAAGCAAGAAGTTACTCTAAAATTTAACGTACACTACGTTAATATTAATATAATAGTACCAGAATTACGACTTGATTGTGTGTATTTTCAATACATTTTAAAACATCTTATGTGTATTTTGTATTCAGTTATCATGTTTTAATTTTTAATGAAAAATCGCACATTCCTTTGGTATTTCTTGCACTGATAATATAATATGAGTCAAAATATAAAGGCCTCTAAATATCATCTGGTACCTTTATAATGTGTCTAATAGTCATACGAATATTTAGTAGCAATGTATAAGGGGAAACTTCACAAATAGACTCAAGCACAAAACTAAATGTAAGTGTATAACACATTAGAGGCCTTTATACTTTCGACCGGCTCATATTGTGTTTATAATATAACAGTTATTTTATAACGTCTATAACAGCTATACTATTATATTTTATAACTCATAATATTATTCATATATTTGTATTAATATTTAAAGATAGCTCTGTCATACAGAAGCCTATCAATTATTGGTACAAGGTTAGATAACATTATTTAACCTTCATTCTTAATGTAGATAAATAACATATTTTTCGATGAGTTGTTAATATTTCATCTTACATTTAGTAGCATTTCGTTGTAATTCAATATTTGTCCTGTTTGACTTTAAATTTATTTTAAAATATCATAAACAATAATATCATTAAAAATGTGTGAAAAAATTACAAAGGTCAATTATATAGTGCGTAAATTTCAATTATCCGATTGTGGTGAAGTGCATGAAATCCGGGAGTCTGTCGAATGGCCGACATATATACACGAATCGCAAGTTATTATGAATATCGATCCCAACGGCCAGTATGTGGCCCAGGATATAGACACCGGTATATCACACTTGATTGTTTAAACTAGATTAATTACTAGTAGATTCGTTTCAATTGACTTTTTTCACTTAATATTTTTATACAAGATTAAATTTTAAATGTAAAATAAAAATTATTTTTAATTATTTAAATTTAGTGTCATCCTAAATAACAATTTAAAATTCTAACATTTAAAATGTCGCAAGTATAATAATATTTAATTAATAATATTTTCATGATTAGGAAAACTGTTGGGATACTTGTGTGGGGTAAATATCACTGAGAATTTAGCATACATTGGTTCCTACTGTGTGCGACCAGAATACCAGGGTCGGGGTATCGGCAAAGCATTGTGGGATAAGACTATTGAACACTTGGGCGACAGAAATCTCGGACTTGTATCGTCTGAACAAAATACATTTGAGTTTTACAGAGATGTCCGTAATTTCCGGTATATTTCCGACAGACGTGTGATTGTAATGTTCGGTCCACTGACCCCTAACCCACAACTTATTGATAATATCGATGGCATCTCTTTGGTGACCATCGATGGACACAATGTTCGGGATGTCATTGAATACGATAAACACGTTAGCGGTTTAGACCGCAGTGTACTCATTGAGAGCTTATATAAAATACCAGAAAATATTAATCTACTAGCACTTGACGACCATGGTCATGTTGTGGGTTTTTGTTTCATAAATGAAAAAAATATGAGGCTATACTCAGTTGAGCCCCTGTATGCTGATAATGAACACATCGCTGAATTATTGGTCGGCAAATGTGTGGCACGTTTGCCGCCAAACCAGAAATTAATGTACAAGTATTGGGACAGTAGTGAAAAAGCACAGATGATAGGCACTAAACTTGGATTGAGCGAGGTAGTCCGAATGTGGACCATGTACACCAAAAAATTAGTAGACCCAGCTCATATTGATAAAGCCTTTTGTCCCGCTAGTGTTGACTTTTATGTCTTTTAAAAATTATAGTGTAATACATTACAATATTGTTTGGAATTTTCATTTAAATTTTCATTGAATTATATAAAATAAGTTCATTGCTTACTAGTATATTATGTTTACATTTTATTGGAAATTCGTGAAATAAAACATTTTCTATTGTTTATGTTTTTGTTGTATGAATAAACTGATTCTTATAACTAATCCCGATAATAAAACTATCATTTATAGAAAACAGATACTCTATACATGATTTTTATTGTCAAGCAAAAATGGACTAATTATCTTTGATAAGTAATTACTGATAAAACAATCGTTTATGTATTATATTATGTGTAATATGTATACACACTTGTATTGAAATCAAGTGATCACGTTTGCTGGTAATTACAAAATTTAAACATTTATTTGCTATCTAATAATATATCTAGTAATTTATCTGAAAATTATCAATATAATGATTTTATCAATAAACTAAATATTTATTTCTCAACTATGTCACATTAAGTTCAAAATGGGTACTCAATATTTCTGTTTCTAATTTCTAACTATTTTAAAATAATATAAATCTAATACACTTATAATACAAGCATGATAATGTTTTAATCATTTACTTGTAGATATATTATATTTGAGATTCGGAACCTTTTTATATAACAAACTATAACACAATACAAATATATTGACATAATAATAAATGGTCTGAAAACGTGTTTTGACTTTGTGTTCATTGAGTATAGTATAACAATGGCTAACATTTAGTGTGTGTATAGCGCACGCGTTTATTTGTCTCACTTTCAGTCTCACTTTTATTTGCCAAACGATACTCAATATTTCTGTTTCTAATTTCTAACTATTTTCAAATAATATAAATCTAATACACTTATAATACAAACATGATAATGTTTTATTTTAATCATTTACTTGTAAATATGTTATAAGCACAGAAATCTATCCTTGATATAACAGTATACTGTACCAGTATTAATGATATAACTAGTATAATGTGCAAATATAATAGATAGCATTATTTATATTAATTATATATTTTGATAAACTCAATAATAAATTGGTTGTACAAGTTGTATATAAGTAAACTGACTACAAAATATTATTATAATAATTAAATTTATTTCATTTAATATAATTAATATTAATTTACCAAAAAATACCTTTTTTAAAACTAAGTCAAGAATAGCCTGTTATCATTTATAGCAATAGCAGTTAAAATGTGTTCTAAAATGATAAAGGTCAATTATGTAGTGCGTGAAATGCAATTATCAGATTGCCGTGAAGTGCGAGACCTCTGGAATTCAGTCGGTTTTTCGATACATAAATACCGACCGGAAGTTATTATGAATATCGACCCCATGGGACAGTACGTGGCCCAGGATACCGACACCGGTATAAGACTTTTGTTTTTAAGAAATGAATTTTAAAATGTATAAATAATTATTTTTAAATTCTATGATCATTTTTGTAATGTAATTTGCTTAATATATGAAATTCCTTATTCAACATTACATTGCAAAAAATTATAGATATATTATCTATACAAGTATACAAATAATATTAATTCTAGTTATAATAATAATAATATTAAATAAAAACTTTTATAAACTTTATAATATGAAAAATATAATTATTTAAAATTTAGGTAAATTACTGGGATATTTGGCTGGGGTGAATGTTTCGGATGANTATAAACTTTATAATATGAAAAATATAATTATTTAAAATTTAGGTAAATTACTGGGATATTTGGCTGGGGTGAATGTTTCGGATGACTTAGCATACATTGGAGGTTATTGCGTGAGACCTGAATACCAGGGTCGCGGTATAGGCAAAGCAATATGGGTTAAGACTATTGAACACATGGGCGACAGAAACCTCGGACTAACAACTCATAAACAAAATACGTTTGAGTATTACCGGGATGTTTACAATTTCAGATGCATTTCCGACACACAATTAATTCTATCGTCGGGTCCACTGACCTCTAACCTCAATCTCATCGATAATATCGATGGTATCTCTTTGGTGACCATCGATGGACACAACGTCCGCGATGTCATTGAATACGATAAACACGTTAGCGGTTTAGACCGCAGTGTACTCATTGAGAGCTTATATGAAAATACAGAAAATGTCAATTTGGCGGCTATTGATGACAAGGGACATGTGGTGGGCTATTGTTTCATACTAGAGACATGTATGGTTGGCCGACAGCAGTATTGGGTGGTTGAGCCCCTGTATGCCGACAACGAGCGCATCGCCGAGTTATTGGTCGGCAAATGTGTGTCGCGTTTACCGCCAAACCGTACATTGGATTTGATTTACAGGTATTGGGATAATAATGATAAGTCGCGTGCGATTGTCAATAAACTGGGATTAAGTGAAATGATGCGTCTATGGACCATGTATACTAAGAAATTAATTGATCCAGCACTTGCTGATAAAGCATACTGTGCCGCTAATACCGGATTTTATGTATTTTGAAATCGTATCAACTAATAATATGATAAAAATTTATTTTTATCATTAAATAATTTGTAATATTGTAAACTAATTATGTTTGCTAAATTATGTTTGATAGCAATATTAATTACTGTATATCAGTGCAAATTGGGTTCACATTAACTTTAAAAGTTAATCTTATTTTTAAATTTTAACATCAAATATTAGTTGCAAAAATTATTTTTATTAGATTTATTATTATTATTAAATAGAAAATTTAATAAATTATTGTACTGACTCATGTGAATTATTTTATGGTAAAAATAATAAACGTAACTTAAATTAAATATATAAATTTTAATAATAACTTATTATTGACTATAATACAATATGAAATTTTAAAGGTAATATTTTTTGTAAAATTCAAAATTCCCGTTAATATTCATTTGACTTTTAAAAACACTAAAACATTATTTAATAAATTTCTATAGCTTTAAGCATTCAATATTTCTATCCCATAATTTAGATAAAATAGATAAAATAATTTAGCCTTCATACTCAATGTCAATTGATAACATATTTTTCGATGAATTCTGTGCATTTATTTTAGTTTTTGCTGTAATAAAAAAATTAAAAATAATTCTATATATACTTCTTGAATCTTAATTTATTAAAAACTATTATTAATATTAATATTCTTATAGACAATGTGTGACAAAAATACCAAGGTCAATTATATAGTGCGTGAAATGCAATTATCCGATTGCCGTGAAGTGCGAGAAATCTGGGAGTCCGTCGGCTTTCC